GTTCCTTGGCGGGGGGAGTTCAGTTGAGATCTCGGTAAAGGAGTGCTTATCAGAGCGCCTGGCAAAACACAGAGCACCCGTACCGCCAGGCCTGATCCCCTTACATTTACAGCGTACTTTAATCCCTCTGTCCTCAGCCGAGCCGCCCTCTAGCGGGCTGATTGAATTAAGCCGCGGTGCAAGACTGCGGCCACAGAGACGAAGCACAGACCATCCCAACACCGTGGAGATGTTTCCCCTCAATCTGAATCTTACCGACAGGATAACCCACTTTTCTGAGCGTATCAGGTGTTATGTTAACCAGAGATTTAAGCATTTTGCTGGGCAGGAAGCCTCCGCGCATCTCTTTTTTTTTCGAGATTTGTTTTCTTGTGAGTTGCGAGGTGGATAGATAGAGGCTGACAGATATGTGTTCTGTATGGTTGCGACAGTCGAATGGAGTGGATAACATTTTCCAATTAATTTACGTCATATGTTATGCTTAAAAGGTGCCACCAGCACTATCTATGATTAATGTTGCGAGTAACACTATCTTGTTACAAAAACGAACAGCTTTAGAAAAAAAGGCATGTTTTCGGATGTTACTGCCCATGTTTCTTTCTTTTTTTCATTTTTACCCCGAAAAAAATATTTTGCTTTATTGCTATCTGTCTAGTAGCACATAATTTATTCACATTAATGAGACATCGACCGAAAAAAAAATCTGCCCACTTTTAGTTTTGGAATTGTTTGTTACGAAATTTCGATTTTTGTTTTTACGGCCCGACAATGAATTCAGTTCCTGCTGGGAAGACTTGTTCCCGCCCCCCCCCCCCGCTTTTTTTTTGATAATCCATGATGTGCGGACCGGGAACCTGTCTATCCGCAAGGTGGATCTGTTTGTGTTCAAATAAATATAAATAAAAGGCTTTTTTTTCCAGAGGGTACAAACCCCCAAAATAGGAAAGAATTACTTAATATATATATTTTTTTTTAAACATTCAAAAGTCACATTCGTAATGGAACAAAGTCGAAAGAATATCTTTAAAAATCTCCTCTGCTTTCATAAAAATCGGTGGACTGTAATGACGCGAACGACCTCAGCGCCGAACGATTTCCGTAGTCACGAAGAAAAATAAACGATCGGTTGTACTTGAAACAACATTGGTTTTAACCGTATAGTCCTTATATACTAGAAATAAAAGGTATTGGTACGATGTGCAGGGTTCGACTTTAATTTGTATTTCAGCCAGCCAGGCTGCTGAAACAGACTCGTATAACTAGCCCCCGGGCACTTTCACTAGCCCGCATTTTTTTTCTTGTATAGAGTGTCTCATCAACAGCAATGTGCATGTACGTTTAAAACGTGTATCCTGAGGCAATCTTGTCAGTGTTTTTAATAAACCAATCTAATAATTTAACCCTAAATAGTTAATACAATTAGACACAGATTGATACAGCTTTGATCTCTGAATGTAATGTTTTATTTCTTCCTGTCCTTTTGTCTTTGCCGTAGCCCAATAATTGTTGACTCGCCAGCCGGGCTACTTAAAGTTTGACTAGCCCGCCGCTGTTTTGACTAGCATATCGGGCTACCGCTAAAGTCGAACCCTGACAATGTGCCACCTGCGATTCTTTCGGTTGGCAGGTCTACGGAATTGTTCTCATTAATTTCATTTGAGTCGATTTGATTCGCAAATGATTTTTTTTTGACAACTTCATTGTTAACATGACACATGATCGAAAAACTTGTTCAACTCGCTTCTCAGTTATTTACGTCTAGATACAAGGTGAACTACATGGACGGAAATCGTTACGTCTTGTCCGTCCAAACTATATATCTTCCCCCTAACATAACTCCAAAACGTGTCACAGTGCCCCTAGGGTGAGTTTAATGTCGAGTGCATGCAGTTCAGTTTGATTGGTTCTTGAATGGTTGATATCATTTTTAAAAGAAAAAATGAGGCAACTATTAAAAACAATTTTTCCATAAATGACAGAAAAAACAAATCCGCGCCCTCTTTTGAAAAAATGGTGCACAAATTACTGAACATAATGTTACATCGCCATTTAAAAAATAGCAAATAGCAGAATATAAAAAGCACGGTGCAAAAGAACAACAAAAGCAAAAAAACCCAGTTACACGATTGAAACCCTTGAACAGGTATCGATGACAACAGGCAGGTCGTCATTTCATGTTGAAATGCCACCGAAACCCCGTTTATTGATATGGCACTAATTGAAGGACACAGATGTTTTGGTCATTATGGAAATATGGTATTTCCGTATATGCAATACACTGATAATTGGTAACCAAGCCTTTGCTTAAAAATCATAACTGTATATAATAAACGAACTACATCCTTCTGTCTCTAATCTTACACAATCTTCAGACTTGACTCACATCATTACAATGAATACTTGTAATAAATTAGAGGATACAGTTTAAAGCTCGTCTTAATCATTTGATTTTAGTTGGCATTGCATTTAAGACAAGATGTGATATACGACAAAGGCGTAATACGGAAGCCGTCCTTAAGTATGGATTAATATCGAGAGAACCTTCAGTGACTTTACAAGGGAAATCAACTAAATCATACCAAAGAGCGCATTAAACACTTGAAAATTCACACACACAAAACATTATTAATTGGCGAAAGACACAACGTTCTACATTTCCATGAAACACGTATATCCTTCCTTCTGAAATCCATGCAGTTGCATTTATTTCTGTCACTTCAAGACTGCATTTTGAAATTAAACAATAACAACAGTATCATAACATCCAATAACAATAAATAACCCAACTGGAAATGGCACCCACTGCGCTGACCTTAGCACACTCACCAACCATCTCAATAAAACCCTGTAAAACGTATTAACAAACAATAACAAGTCATTTCCAAAAACATATCTTGAAAGTCCCACGGCCATTCCAGCAGCTATTCATAGCCTATATGCATGAGCGTATGGGCTGTCCTTTGTATTTCATAGCATGGGATGAATCATACGCGCCGTATATAGTCACCCTCAAAGTGTCACTTAAGTTATTTCCCGTTGGAAGTGCACCGAAATAGCCCGTGTGGAAGCCTCTTGAGGCTAGTGTTCCCATCCGCGTTTCCTCCCCACCTGTATCACGACCCAGGACTCGATGTTATCGTTCCGCTCAGATGCCACAACCCAACCAAACCACCGATGTGACTAGATACGATTCGTGATTTTGTCGTTATTACTTGACTGTCATCTATCCAGCGAATCTTCCTCCGGACATTGGTCTCAATGTCAGGGTCTTTGACATTAATTCGGATCATTCCGGAACATATGCATTGTTATTCTTGGATTATTATATAGCAACGGCGTATCCAGATTTCGGAGCCAAGGGGGAAAATTGATTTGATGTTGTTGTTTTTTGTCTCTCCACAAGTCAGTCACATCAGAAATGTTTTCATCCAAAAGTAGTTTGAATGGCATTGTTGTGAGAAGTTTTTGGTTCACTTACGAAGCGACTAACCCCAAAAGGAATGGTAATTCTAGTTATAACCATGCAAATGCTGACGTTTCAGTCAGTGTAGGTCCTAATTAATACATGCAGGCCACATACAAACAAAGTAATCTTGGTATCATGGTATTTCAACCCAAAGTAAAAGCTATTGGTCGTTTATTTTTTAGCCGTGGCGGCTTCCTGACCTAAGATTTGTCAGAAAGGCCAGCATGTTTTGGTTATGGAACCAGACTATTGATTAAGGTGGTAAGATATCCACAATGCTGTACCTTTCTTTCACACAATTTGATGGAAAATATTCGACGTTACAAGCGTCCATTAAAGGGACACTAGACGTCCTGGAATACGCCCAATTGGGCTACAATGCGCGCTTTGAACGAAATTATGTTCATCAGAAAGAACATTTAAAGTACGATATAAACATCCACACAACTATCCTTTAAACACTGGACATTTTGTGTTATTGTGTTATTCGTGCGAGAACGAATGTCGGGGTCCACTTTTTACACACAACGTGCATCGTACATTTACTGAAAATGACGGGAAAAACGTATTTGTACTCCGTCGTGTCCGATTTAAACAAGCGGTCTATCTCGGGAACGGTAAAGAAATTAGGTTGGTTTCCTTTCAACCAAATGTTTGAAATAAGATAAGTAAACAATCCAAAACATGACATATTCGGGGATTTCAGGACTTAGTGCCCCTTTAATAACGGTGAGAGCGAAGAATATGACCATCGCATGGGATTTAAAGTTGTTGTTGTTGAAACTGTACAGGCAGCGAATACATTGGGAAGGAAGGGATCAGTAATGTTAGACACACCAGGAAATCCCTCGAGATTACAGACCCCCAAACAATACCCCGGCCCCTTGCCAATCCTTAGCCATATTGTACGTACAAAAGGACGCGGTCGAGCTGTCGGAAATCTTGACTTGCTGCCTGAAATTTGACTCATGACCCTCTTCTTAATCATTTCACGGTCGCCGAGAAAACTGCCGGTAATTATTGGTCGAACCCAATCGATGCTGTGCATTTCCTTTAAGTATCTATAAATAGCCCGTGGCATTGAATAAAACTCTGTGATGGCGGTGCATTTTTTCCATGAGTAATTCTCCATAAACGGAACTTTACTGGCTCCCTTCCTGACCCGTCAAAAATCGCTTTCTCTGAAACATCCCAAACAAGGAAAGGCATTCCTGCACTGCAGTGGAAATTTAATTTCATAGAGTTTTGAGAGTTTCTTTATTAAAACACTCCAAAGCCGACTGCTGTATTCTGTCGTCCTGTCACTCCTGTGCTGCCTCCTATTTTTAGAGCATTCATTTCCGCTTCACATTTTGGTGCCTTCAATTTTGCCACATTCATATAGATCGTATACATTAACCTCTCTCAGCTTTCACAAAATAAACGTTGTTTAAATTTACTACTTGAGCGTGCCAGCATAAACTCACACAAACAACAAATGCGTTCATTATTGGGCAACAGTTTCCATCTGGGTTTTTCATGTAATGGTGCGTGAATGTCATTCTTATCCCGCAGGAATCAATTGGGACGAGTTTGAGGCGGAGCGCAGTTCGGCCCGTGCCACGCTGAATGAGAAAGTGAGCGTGGAGAGAGTCATCGGTGACAACAACTGGCAGAATCGACTCGTCGTGTGTGTGAGTGGAGTACATCGTCAACGCACCGTGCGTCTAGTACCGGTTCATTGGATCGCTAGTCTATACACAGTATATTACGCAGTACTTGATTAGGCCCCGCATAACATGCCGAGGGTAGCGCGGAGTAGGTAATAATTCCAGTGACAGGAGTGCAGTTGCAGACCATTGTGTCACTGTCGCCGTCGTCATCGTTTGTCGTCGTCATCCAGGGCCACCATGGGGATCTCCCTGGCCTTGGCTGGGGTATTGGTGATGTTATTAGCCGTCTACGACTACGGGATCCGCCTGTGCGGGGTGAGTGCGGGTCCCGTGGAGAGTGTTCGGCTGGACGGGGACGTGGTGCTAGGTGGATTGTTCCCCGTGCACGAGAACGGTATCAATGGGTGCGGGGCGTTCGATAAAGGCGGCTACCAAAGACTAGAAGCCATGGTCTACGCCTTGGACAGGATCAACAATGATGACAACCTGCTGCCAGGAATCCAGATAGGCGCCTATATACTGGATACGTGTAGCCGAGATACCTATGCATTGGAACAGACTATGGAGTTTGTCACGTCGACGATCACAAGGATAGATCTGAACGCTTTCACGTGTCCTAATGGTAGCGTGCCCGCGTATCAGCCCCCACAACCTACGGTGGGCGTGGTGGGGGCAGCTGGTAGTCCAGTGTCCACTATGGTGGCTAACATTCTGCGCTTGTTTAAGGTGAGTTTCTTTATAAAAAAAAGAAAAGAATGACTCATAATCCATCATTTTTAGACACTTTGTTAAAAATATACTGAATCGTATGTGTCCCATACTTCTCACTGCTTGTCTAATTTCGAAATGAGTGTTATCGTTTGGAAACTGTAATTTGTAAACGGCAAGACTATTTTTGCCTTAAGTGTGTCACCAGATAACCGAATAACTTAGAATATCCAACCATTTCTATCGATTTCAGTTTTGAATATTGTTTTGGAAAAAACATTGTAATATTTTACGATTTATAGAAAGCAGTAACTTATATAGTTCTTATGCGACGCATAAATTATATCCATGATTTGACGGGCCTTGAAAATATTCTTGCTGGGTGGACAAAGGATAAAAATACACAAATCAAAACACCAGCCCTCTTTTAAACGCAGCCATTACGTTACATTAGACAGTTCATTCACCTTCAATCAACAGAACAAAAATTAAAGTTTCTCTACCCACGCTCTTCAGCATATTCTCTGTCTTCTCTCCTCGCGAGTTTTCAATTTGTATGTTTTATTAAAACAGAAAATACTACTCTTTTCTCTTCTGGAAATTATTTTTGTTTGCCTTTGCGACCATAACGCACAAAAGACCGGCGTGATTTATTGTTGGGTTGCAAATGGATCGATTTTGTAAAGTAATTTATTCCATAACTTGACGTAGGCAGATTTTGCGCTGAATGTCACATTTGAAAGTGAATAACCTTTGTAGTGCTATATAGACAAATTTAGAAACATAATTTATTACTCATAGTGAAACCTTCAACGGGTATAGCCTATAGAGCAACTTTAAAGTCCACCGATCTCCACCAAAAAAATCGGACAGTGAAAAGCATATTTTACTAGCATATTCAAGCAGAGACAATCGAAGCTAAATCTATTGGATAGAAAAAGTATACTGTGGAAAAAAGAGACTAGCATAGTCTTACTCAATCTGATACACGAAAGTGGTCACTGAAGCCGACGGCTATTTACTGATTTGGCAGATTTTCCTTTCAATGGCAATTAACCATAAACGTTTAGTGCTTGCCTGTCTGTCACGAGCACACCAATATTGCACTTTGCTAAAATGCCCAATGAGATAATAGTTTATCAACCCCTTCATCTCATAACCTAGGGAAGAGTGCTTTCGTCCCTACATTCATGTCACACGGGCCCATTTCACCCGCGCCCATCTGTCAAGTTCACGGTATAAACTGCACATGACCTTATCGTGTTTAGTCCTATACAATTCGGCTCCCTGCTTTTAAGTGAAATGTCGGAATTGTTTTCATTCTCTGACTCATGCTATTATGCACTCGGTAAGTGTTTCGTTAGCATAATGGTTCTGACGCAAGTTGAGTCCGTACAATGGTTCTCATGTCCCTGAGGATTGTCAACTAAATATTTTGAGTGTTTCTTTCAAGTTGTATATGCGGCGTATTCAAAGACTATGAGGAACGCTTAAGTGTAAACACTGAAACGTCTGCATTTAAAGTTATGTCCTATTCCCCTTTGCTACAGATGTTAGCACTTTTGGGCTGTACGGTGCACTATTAAAAGTTGGTCCAAAAATTATTTAGGGAAAACTACTCTTCAAGCTGGTAAAATTATACTCAAATTAAAGCAACAACGTCAGCAGTTTTATTCCGTTTTCGGGTACCGTATGTTAAATAAAACGTTGCCTTTTATTTTATTTTTCACCAACTTTTATTATAGCCACTCCGAAATGGCTGCCAAATTTTCCCGTGTCACGCAACACTGTGTCATACATTTTCTGCACCGTCAGAAAGTATTTCCTGCCTGTTCCTATAAACATAACACCCTGGAGCTCCCCGTGCCTGGGCAAACTAAATGACTTTGCCCTCGTAACCGTGGCGGGTGCTATCATGCTCCTGTATTTTTGGTGGAACGGAGCGTGGCCATCGTAATACAGCGTAAAGTCAGCCGGGCTCTTTCATGCGCGACTTCAATGAAATTTTGCAATAACACGGAGGCCTTATTGAATTCGCAAGGACAAATGAAGAATGAAGATTTCATAAGCAAAATAAATATCCATTTCATTCCCTGACCGGTCATGCAATAATGGTTGCGAACCGACTCCACCACCCAGTGATAATGACCAATTTGTAATAATTGCACGACGGAATCAAGTCCAGACCAAAAACAGTACCGATATGGATGAATCAGTGGGCGGTCGTATACTTGAATCATTTACGTCTGTTCCCTCGGAACAATTTTGCAATCTCTCTGCATGGCTGTAAACCCCAAACCCAAGGAGCCGGTTATTTTGACCATATCACAGGCGGGATGGCCCCCCCCCCCCAAGATCTCAGCCATTGAGTGACGAAAAATTATGAAACCTGGTGCATGCATAGAACAACTTTAATATGAATATACCAAAGAAATTTCATGACTATAGGTACAAGGGTTTTGGAATTATCGACTAATTGATGATCCATATATGCATCAATGGTAATTCTGCTTTGTGTGTACACTATATGGGGAAAATCAGTTTTCACGAAAAATTTGTCGCTGCGCGGTAAACCATGGTCGGAATGTTATGTTTTTGGTATCAAAAGATGCGCAAGACTCGAGGCTAAAAAGTCAGGAAAGCTGGAGCGGGGAACATTTTTTGCAAGGGTATCGCGGAAAAAAATGAGGGAGGAATGGGCGATTCCGCGCCTGGCCCGTTCAGAGTTAATGTTAACGATTAAAGAGAAGGTGGAATGTAATTAGTGCTACTCTCTTTGCAAAGGGATGCCAAAAGAAACGGAACCAAAAATATCATAAACACTAATTTGGGTTTTCCATCATCAAGTGTAGATCCAAATTTGAAGCGAGGCAGCTCTCATGAAAATTGGTTCTAGAAAGATACCAAACCTATATGATTCTTTTTGCTCTACCTTGAGAAAGCTGCAGCTTTTGTGTTATTAAGCCAGTCTCCCCTCGAGGCGCTCGACCACTTAGAGGTGAAATTACCTGGAAACCGACATGGCAATATCTGCCGAGCATGCAAAAGAGGCTGAAGGAATAGCAGCATTTCGCCACGGAAATTATTATTTCTGCATGGAACAGGTGCATCGAAAGTAATCAAAGTTTTTGCAGATCAAGAAGAAAAAACACATATAGGTTTTTTTTTTTTAAAGAATAACCCAGTTATAAATCCTGTTTTTATGGCGGGCAGGCTAAGTGCCCTTATATCGTGTGAATATTTCACGGCTGATTTACGTGCTTACGACTAGACTCTTTCAATATGTTATTGTTACACATCATAATATGGCTTTATAGAATTTCAAGGTTATGCATGAAGTGCGTGCGTTAAAAACCCGAGTATTCTTTCCGTATTAGTTGGAAACAGGAAGTCTGGTAAACAAATAAAAAGAGGATACATACATTTCGTGTTAAAACCGTGCATGAAAGGCATCTACTTCGTTTGTGAAATCTCTGCTTGTTATTCTTTTCTATAACGCAGTGCAGTGGCGTAGCTAGGATTTTGTTTAGTGGGGGGCACGGGGGGGGGAGGGGCATCAGAATATCATGGGGGCACATATCGCAAACGCCTTTTTCAGTTTTTCGCAGTTGGGCCCATAATGCCTCGCTATATCCATTGACATAAGAAATTGTAAACAATAAGCCTTTCGTTAACTGAAAAATACAACGTATTATACAAGCCCTTTTTGGCTTGGAAAGGAAAAGGGGCATTATCGGTATTTTGGTGGTGGGGAGGGGGGGGGGGGACACCTGCATGGGGGGGGGGGCACGGAAATTTTGTGGGGTGGCACGTGCCCCCATCTCCCCTCCCCGTGGCTTCGCCACTGATGCGGTGCCCTTAGTTATAGCAGACACTTCCAAAATAACGGCTGTACAAATGATCTATTATAAAGAATAAAGACGGATATAACCGAATACATAATTGATATTCCACGCAACATAATTTTAAAAACCACTAGAAAGTTGTTGTTGAGCACTGGGGCCTGTGGTGGTCCCTTCTTTTAAAAAAAAGATTGACTGCGAAAAGAGCGTGATTATCTAGAATATTGTGTGCCTCTGGACCTATAACATCGGGTGCACTATTTTATTCGTCCGTCCAAGTCGAGGAGGTAATCGCTAGCTTTCTGTGAAGGTTTTAAGGTAATGCCCCACGACAACGCCTGAATGTCACATCATCAACATTAATTGAAAAAAAAAGCAACCTGAAATCAGCATACGGTGCGGTATGAGTGGCAACATATGGTGGGTATTATCATTGATATGAAATAAAAAAATACTTATTTGTCAAGCAACAATAACTCAGCCGATATTACTGACATCTGTTGTGACACTCATTGACAAAAGACTGATTAGAATAACAAAACTAATAGTTGTTACTATAGACCGGCTGGTTCTTTTTTTGTAACTGAACATGCACTATTTATTTCCTGGTGTTTACAATGGTTTCTGACAAGTGCACGTCGACCATTACGTCGCAGCATGGTTTCTCTTTTTCAAATGGTAATTTCTTCAATTTTAAATTTGTTTCGTGCATTAAAAAATGTTCACGACTAAATATTTCCAAAAATGTAACATGAACATGAATAAAACTGCTGCTTACTGACTGGAATGACCCGAAATATACAAATCAAACAAATTAGAGAGCCTATAATGGTTCGGATTTTGGCAGGACCTTTCCTTAAAGGCAAAATAACAGTGGCACAGAAACAAGTAACCGATATTTTTTGAAGACACATAAATCTGCTATATACAGTCGGTCAGTTCAATCAAATAGGGGCTTGGCTATAGATAGTAATATTTGTCTTCGGATTCTTAAGGAACAAAGATAAAGTGCTCTTCGGACGGCGTAAATGAAAAACTGGAGAAGTGAAGATTTAATATCCGGAGCTGTGGGCGGGTGGGGTGGGTAATGATAATCATTAAAGTCACTCGGGGTCGTTTGGCATTGGCCGATACGCTCCGAAACAAATCTTTTATAGGAATCAATTTATCAAAAGG